TGTATATTGGCCAAACTGGACATTCTCTCCGGGAAAGAATTAATGGATACAAATCAGATATCCGAAAAGGCAACACACAAAAACCTGTTGGAGAACACTTTAATCTTCCTGGACACTCATTAATGGATCTCCAAGTCGCCATTTTGTTTCAGACCTATTCCACAAGCCAAATACACAGAGAAGGGTTGGAACTTAACTTCATTCACAAGTTTAATTCTTATGCAAATGGTATGAATGGGGATATCGGATGGCTCACACATTATCAACCAACCAACGAAGGTGCTAATGGTTCTTGATGTCTGTGTAGAATCTGGTATTGGTCATCTTCCTTTCCAAATGCAAACTAATGGTTCTTAACAGCCTCTTGTATCTATTTAGTCCTTAAGGTGCTAATAGACTATTTATTGTTTTTTAAGTCTTTCCTGTTACAGACTAACTCCCTACCCCTCTGAAGCTTATCTACTCACTGTCTTTTTCTTCCTCCCCTCCATTTTTTTTCCTTCTCTCCCCTTCCCTCCCCCCCCCTCTTTATTTATTCTTGGATCTGGACTTCCAACACTCCTGTCATCTGAAGAAGTGAGCTGTGCCCACAAAAGCTCATTCCACCATCTACATGTTTTGTTCGTCTTTAAGATGCCGCTAGACTATTTGTTGTTTTTTAAGTTTATACCTTGAAAGCTGGCACATGCCTAATCTTCTTGCTGGAATCATTGCTAGCAGCCTTGCAAAAGTGAAAGCCAGACTCTTTTAGCTTCACCATCTCTAAAAAGCTGTGAAATCAATAAGAACCTTTTATTTGCTAGCTAAAGCCCAGCAAGGGTCTGGCATTTTATCACCTGTGCTTGCCTTTTCCGCGGCTCTCAGGTCTGAGCAGGTTGTCAACACTCTGCATGATTCGATGGGTGCATAAAAGACTGATAGAGCTGCCAGACGGAGGCTAGCAATGTGAAATGACAGGCTTGAATGAAGTTGATCAGACCTGAATCCCAAAATAGCTAAGAGCAGAGACAATCTATTGCCATTCTAC